GAACAATGAAAATCCCTCCGCAGCCTTTTTGTTGGATAGTACTGTCATTTATTTGTTTCTTCTTCCTACCACACCTTTTGTTCTCCAGCCTTCTTCGTCTGAGCTTTTATTACGTGATTTTGATTAAAGACTTATCTTTTGTTGCCTAATTTTCTAGTGCATATTGCCGAACTATTGGCAGTAAGGTCATGTTTGACTAAGCTCAAGGTCACGGTGTGATTCAGTGTGTGACTGTTAACCATTTGACTGTCTAATCGGGAGAACTGCTGGAATCTCTGAAGATAGATATTTGATCCCATTTTGTTGGGAATATTTTTATTGATTATCAGCACGCTACTTTGCGTTAGAGAAACTTCTGACTGGATAGCACAGGCTGTACCGTTTGAGAACTGTAAGGATCGAACTGCTAGTAATCGGTTTGAACGCGGAACTGACGAGCCAAAATTCATTAGAATTGGCCAGGCTACGTTCTTCTGTATGACTTATGAAGCGTTTAAATTGAGCACGGAGTTTGTGCTTTGATATAATTTAATACGAGTGTCTCAAAAACGCTTTGTAAGCTATGCAGAAGAACTTAGTCTGGCCTATTCTAGTGGGTTTGTGTTCTTCAATCCTGCGTTGAAACAGAATACTGGCAGTTCGGTCGTTTCAAATATATTGATGCTATAGATGACTCCACTTGGATTACCGTAGATTGTGGACCGCAAAAATATCTACTGATTGGATGTATGTATACTGATACTAACTTGTTAACTAACATATTTTCCCCCAACCACATACGTTTAAGATCATCGGAGGTGGTTTAAATCCGCTGAACATTATATGGATATCGACTTGGCCACTAGATAGATATAACAAGCCTGTTGTAGCCACAGAACTTTGTCGATGGATCTTAAAAGTCCGAAAGCCGACTAGGAGGGACAATATACTTGGTTAATATTTACAATCAACATCGATTCTGTCTCATGGCACGTCAGTCATGAAGTTTCTATGGGTGATCATGGAGTCGTATTGAGCTTTATTTATTCTTCAAACACCACACCATTGAACTCTAAACCTGGAACAATGTACCAGAGCAGGCAGTTTGACCAACAAATTTAGAATCGCAATTGAACCTTTCTTCTATGCTGATCATGAGGATCTTATTTCATAACAAATGATATCGGCACTGCGTTTTCCTACTTCTACAGCAATCTGACGTATTGCCTTGGTTACACTGTTCCATTCATCGGACACATGATTTTTAAGTTAATAGGGGCCGGAATACTTTTAAGACCTGTGAGAGAAAGCTGAGAAAATTGAAGCACCGCTATCACAAGCATAATGAAGTATGTGCTCTACAGAGCATACCTAACTTGGTTGACAGAAATGATTCATCTCAACAGTAGTATCTCACGATTATAGAGAATAAAGTTTAAGGTAGTAAAAACACAGACTTTTTAATACCCCGGCTTTCCAAATCACGCGTGAAATCGGATTATCTTGACACAACCAGATTCTTCATAATTGACGATAGCATTTTATACGGCCTTGTTACTATTTGTAAGCAATTCATCGAAGAGGCTACAACACAAAAACCTTAACGCCTATCAATAGGCTTCCAATATTGACATCTAAACATCTGTCTACAGTCGATTTCACAGCCATCAATACCAAGCAGGCCATAAATACCTTGAAAATGTCTAATAACAGTGGCAATGATGGGATTCCTGCATCTTTCGCGAAATACAGCAGTGAATTTTCACTATTCTACTTAAAACTGTTCAACTTATCTATAAAACATAGAGCCTATCCATCTGCGCGATAAACATATCTTAACACCTCTAGATTCAAAACAGGGTCACGTAGTGATATTACTAACTATAGGCCCATTAACGTGACGTCTGTGCTATCAAGAACCATGGAAAAAGTCATCCACAAACAGTTATTATCATTTTTACTTTTGGCTAGCCTGATTAGTCTATCTCAACATGGGTTTATGAGCAAACGCTCACACTCCACATAGCACTTGAAATTTCGTGATCAAATCACCTAGAGAAAAGTTGTTGGTCAACCAGTGGTAAATATGTACTTTGGTTTCAATAAGGCCTTTGACGGTTTCTCATACAACCTTTTTCCTTTAAAACTTTCTTCATTTGGCATACGGAACCCACCTTTATCCTAGCTCAAATCCGAAGATGTCAACAGCTCCGGTAAGGGCCTTTCTGGATCAAGCGTGTTAAACTAAACCTTGTCTTTATCTACCAGCTTATAAATGACATCCATCCCTTTGTACTTTATGATATCACCCCACAACATGTGTAATAAAGAAAGTATTTTACCAACTCTGAGAACCTGAACAAACTTAAATTAGACTTTCTTTGTTATTCGCTATTCAGCCGTGTGAAACAGATTCCCATAAAACTTCCGTTGCACTGAAACAATAGCTCGATCCAGAAGTTCACTTGATGACTATCTCTTTGAAGTGATTTGTGCCACCTAATAGATATTAGTGTGTATACTGACGATTGATACAAACAAGGTCCAATATCTCTGTAATTGGTTGAAAAAAAGAGTAGGACCTTTGAAATATTGCTCGTTTATTTTATTTTGTTTTCCATCCTTTCACCTAATATTCGAGATCCGCACATATTCATATTTGTCATTACAATTATTATCATTATTGTTGTTATCATGACTGTTCCTCCTGAAACATTCGCTATTTTTTTCCCCTTTCGTTCTTCCTCTTCTTTTTCTCTCTTTCCTTTCTACACAATATCTTGTGTTACGCTTAAACAAATTAACCTTTCATATTCATTTTATGTTCATCACGCATGTATGACCCATATAAGTGTATATTTAACAATTATTCCTTGCAATCATTCGAAATCATTACTGTACAAACTTATCCTACCGTAAGATCTTACTGTTTATTTATTTATTTTTGTTCATTCGGTAATACACACATTACCGTTTATTCTTCTTATGTTTTCAATAACATGATAAATTACTTACAGATTTCATGTTTCTTTCCTTAATTTTTCTCTCGTCTTTCTCCAGTGTCAACTCAACATTCCTCTAGGCTCATTTAAATACAACGAATATTATGCAAACATTATTGGAACTTGAGTAGAACTGCATTGCTGAAGAGAGTCAAAAGGGCTTCTTCACAACACCAATTTACCAAAAAACTGTTTGTGAATAATTATAATATTTGGACTGGAGTGAAAGACCGGGAATCTGTTGCTAATACTCTAGCACCTTTGATATAATAAATGTATACTTTTAAAGAATCCTGAATCGGATTATTTATTGAGGTATCTTTGTTCTTCAGGATAAATAAAGTCTTATTATTTCTTTACGCATGATTTTTCGCTACCTATTGTTAACGATATACACATACTTTTCAGTATCATTTTCGAAATGTTTTTTGAAATTATTGTGCTACTTCCTACACGTGGACTTTGTAATGGCCGGTACTATGCCAAACCCACATGAGTTATTCTAGCTTCTGAACAGGTAAACCTACTCATTATTGTCAAGCCACAATTTTGCCTTATCACTTATTGGCTGATCAATTCTGTATGCTTTTTAAATGGTCGTATGTGTGTTAAATGCCTTCTCTATTCACCACGTGTCTGCAATTTATTTTTATTCTGACCATAAATATCAAGTCACTGACATATTTAAACATAGTTGAATTATTATGCGAACAGGGATCCTTGAAATTGGAATTTCAGCCGAATAGAGCTAGGTAAGCACGAACGAACGTATTGTATTTAGAATTATAAATCAAGCGGACAATTAAGTACAAAGGAATCTAGAGCTCATACAAACACCATAGTCACGCTTGATTTAATTGATTTGGCTCACTCACCTCCACTGCTCATCATTTTGTTTCACTACGCTCTCTCCCCTTTACTTCCTCCACTTCGTTTCCCTGATTGTCCGTTCAGATCAATGAGTGTACGAAATGTATGTATTCAAACTTCATTCTCGTGTTTGAATCATTTTATTCCGTTATTCTCTAGCTCGATTTGGGTCGATTGTAGGTCATTAACGTAGATGATCTATATCGAATGATCGAGGGCTTACTTGAGTTAGACGGGAATGCTGAGACCAGCAGCTAACTTCGAAGTCACACCTCGCAGCCAGTGCTTAACGTGGTTTACTCCTCCGTCGTATCAAGGTACTATTGCTGCTTTGAAGACCGTATAACACAAAGGGCGTTAGTACAGAAATATATTAGAATAGGTACAAGCTGAAGTGTGACCAACATCTCATGGGCCAGTTCATGGCGTACGACTGACTGATGAGAGTTGGTCGTCCTTGGCCTTGATAGGGACTGATGATCTGCCCGACACTCTGCGAACGTAGCCTTGAATTTGTCCTCATTACCAGTTTACGTACTGACAAACTTAAATTCTGGGTATATAATGCACTTTTAGGTCACATGAAATCTGGAATTCGTTTAAACACATATGCGTCTGAATGAAGCCAAAAGTTACTCACATACGACTCAGCTTCGACTATCAAGAATTTACTTCATGGCATAAGCGATTCTGGTAGTAATGTAGGTTTTCTGTGGCTGTGGATAGCAGAAGCACAATTATATTCATTTAAGACTCCATGTCGTCCATCAATTTTGTCACTATTATAAGTATCAGCTCGACGGTGAAGTCGTGTTTTATATCGTATATCGATGAAAAATTAGGTTAGAGACTTCAAAAACAAGAACGTTCCGCATGAATACAAAATCCCAGTTGTTATCCATCAAGAAATCATCTCAATGATAATACGGTCGACAGTATTAAATGATGGAATGATCATTCCACCATTAAGTACTGAGAAGTGTTTATGAAAAATGAACTCCTGGTAAGTAACCCTTCGTAACTGTCTATTTCTAACGATTTTAAGAAATACCACGATAACACCTAAATGCCGCGGAAACACCAGGAGTCAATTGTAACGCATACCCACCCAGTCTCTTGTCCTTTCCAAAATGTAACTGAAGGCCATTTGAGCAGTCGCTGGTTGGTTGGCCGTATCTTATCGACATGAAACTGGCATTTGTTTGATGAGTTTTATAACACTAAGGAGGTTATATTTAATTAATTTAGGTAACTGGGTCAAATAAAGGTATCGGGTTTAGTATCATTGAAAAACTTTTGAAATTATACCGCCCTACAGGAGAATGGGATGTGTTTCTAACAGGTGACCGTATATCAACTAATAACTTAGCAGCTCGTAATATTGGACTTGGTCAGGAAGCTGTGAAAAAGCTCAATAACAAGGGCCTGGATGTTAAATTCCATCAGCTAGATATAACGGATCGAGATAGTCGAAAAGCGTTCCTAGCATTTGTAGAGAGAAACTATCCCAATGGAATCAACGTTGCAGTTAATAATGCTGGAATTGCCCACAAAGTCGTTTTATTACTTTAATATATTTTCGTAGGCTAACTGTTTGGTTCCATTTGGCAATCAAGCACGTAGTTTGGTGAACACCAACTTTACTTCAACTGTCGATTTCACGGAAGAGTTCATTCCTTTACTAGCTGAAAATGCCAGGTACTCTATTAGGACCAGTTCATACTCTTAAGAGTCGTTAATATCTCTGCTACTCTCTCTCTGTTCATGTTAAAGAAACTCAGTAGTGATCTTTACGAAAAATTTGTCGGCCCTATGAACCTTTCGGAGTTGAAAAAACTTATGGTGGAGTTTGTAAGGTATATCTTTACTGAAATACATCTCAAATTAAACATTCTAGTTCAGTAATGCAACTGTTTTTTTGCTACACTGCATGTAACGTATGATTTCAAAAAGTATGTTTCAGTTAATTCAACACTGCCCAACCCTCCAAGTTTGGGGAATTCTCCAGGGTTTATGGGAAGTATTGTGAATTTTCCCCAGATCTGGGAAACTTTTAGGGTTTAAGTGCCATTTCCTCAAAATTTTCTATAGCCGCTTCCCCAAAATGGGTCAAATTTTCCCCGAAATTGGGAGATTGGGTGAGTAGTGACTGGTCCCAAATATGTTAAATCCTTCTTTCTGCTGATCAAATTTTATTGGTCAAGTCACAGTTTACTTACTAGTCTAGACAAATCTACATTGCTTGAACTATATTGAGGTGTAAGGTGGTATCTGGAGGTGGTCGACAGGAAACCCTGGACCTAGGTTTCTTGCTACGTGGGAATGATCAACACGGCGTGCCTGTAATCGAAGGGGCGACTGATGCTCCTTGGCGGACTCATTCGCCCGCTTCCTAGCTTCACAATCAGTGATGTTAACACAGGTCTATCCAGGCTGCATCCAGTGTTTCCAGTCGGCTCGAGTTTCTTGGACTAATGGTCAAGCTGGTCATTTATCAACATAGTTTGCCTAAATAGTCGAATTGTATTGCTTTAGATAATTCATTCTCAAGTCCTTACCGCACCACAGATGTACTTTTAGCAATGGTTAACACATCAGTTTTTAGAATTAAATTATGCTGTTAAATATAATAAGGTCTACCTGCTGTAAGGTACTCCTCTTTAATGACTAATATCGCCAAGCTAGATGGTCTTTGTTGTCCTAGAATTTATACATAGATAGTAGAATCAACAAAATATGTTGTGAATAGACTGTAGGGTGATTCTAACTGCTTGCTGCTTAAATGTTCAGGCAGAATGTAGGTTACTCTAGGCGACTAGTGTTTCCGCGTAGTACTCTACTCGGCTCATTCGAAAAATTGGTCTGTAAGGTGTATATATTTTTTAACATACTACGAAATACCACAGGGTTTCAATCGATGAACTTTGAGGATATAAGATTCATTGTATTCCAGTGTCAAATTATCTAAGCCTCATTTCATTTAATGTATATTTTCGAAAGAACTCAATCGTTTGGATAAAGCCAGGTTCACTTAATATATGTGGATTGATGGAAAACCTGTATTTTGTATTTTAGCTCTGTAAGAACCTGGGGCATGATTTTCCCAAAGAGTTGCAAAGTGTAGGTAAGTGCAGCTGTCCACCAGTCGCATAGGCTTACTTTGTAAATGGGAGATCTTTTCATGTTTGCTTTTTTCTATTGGATATAGATATATGTGCTTTACTTCAAACTACACATTTTTGTGATATTACTCGGCTAAATAGTCGGAAATGACCGAAGCTTGATTTGGATCCGTAATACAGAGTTCAAAAACCGAGCATTTCTTAACTATATCACCACTTCACGGACTAAAAAGTGTAAACTTCTGTTTACGGCAGTCTATGTATGTAGCTTCTGATCTGTACTTAGAAGCAGCCATCTTCATTATTCTAATTCTTAAATATATTTACACTTGCAAATGATTGGCACCACTATTCCGAAACATCACTGTATAGACGAGACTATTAATATAGTATTTGCTTTCTACTTTATTTATTGAGCAACTATTTTCTTGTAAAATATATCATTAGATCTGCTGAGGATGGCACTTATTCTGAGAAAGGTTGGCCTTCAAATGCCTATGGAGTATCCAAAATGGGTCTTACAAAGGCTTCGTTTATTTTCGGTGATATGCTGAAAGATGATCCAAGAGGGGTTGTGGTAAATTCGGTTAGTTTGTTTTGTCAATATTGTGATGATTCGTGTTTATTTCTGTGCACATCGTACTAGTCCTTATATATATTTATACAAAGTAAATATGAGTAGTTTTTACAATAGTTGATGTTGAGTAGATAATCCATGGTTCTTGTCATCAGTTTCCAAATTTAAACGTGATTCTTCCCACTACGACAGACAAGGATTGTTGAAATAGTGTTCTATACTATATGAAGCCATATCAAGAATGCCACTCATTACAGTCAGTCAATCAGCTACAACGTGGGACCATGCACATATATGCATCGGTCCAAGTTGCCATACCGCATTAGCACAGCAAGATGAATACCGGATTAATAGAAGTAGTTAATTCGATGGTGGTATCTCTAACAGCACTCAAGACCACTGTCACTCATCATACTGCTTTATTATCCACACTCTACCAAAGTAACAGTAGCCAAAAATTTGATCACCAGAGTTAAAAATCTTGTCACTGAACCAAATGATATAGAAGTGGAAATGAATTTAATTATATCCACTTCAATGATGAATGATTATCCGAAGGATTTTATTAAAAGAATAACTAAGAATGAAGAACAAAACGATATTAAAAAAGGAGTTAAGCAGAAAGAATGGATTAATACAGTTGTGATCCCATATCGTAAAGATATTTCAGAAGAGATCAGAAGGATTCTAACTTTTCAAAATATAAGAACATTCTTTCGAACAAACAATACTCTAAGATCAAAACTAGTAAGAATCAAAGATTCAATACACAAGGAAGAACAACAGAATTGTGTTTATGAAATCAAATATAGTTACTGTAATGCCACATATATAGGTGGAACATCAAGGCAACTGAATGTGAGGGTGAAGGAACACAAACTATGCTTAAATCACATTCCTAAATCTTCAGTTAGGGTAAGGAAACTCGAGAACAAATCAGCGATAGCATTACACTCTATAGAATCGAGTCATACAATTGATTTCAATGGCACAAGTATCCTTCGAAAAGGTTGTAATTCTTGCAAAGAGAGACTAACAGCTGAAGCCCTACACATATGGGCTAATCCAAACGGTATTAATAAGAGAGATGAAATACAACTAGCTGTCCCATGGCAACTAGTAATTAGTAAGTAAACCTTATTCCACTCTATCTATATCGTATGAACTAATTATCAGATATTACATTTAACGGTTCAAATCAGTTATCTTATCTGAATATGTTAAACAATTGGCTGGAACATTAAAATAACACAAACTTTCAATTACGAATACATTCTTCCTCTTTGAATTCATTATTTTATCTTGCTTATTTATCATCATTTAATTCATGCTGTGACATTTTCGATTCATATAATATATAAAAATTATATGTTTTTTTAATATTCATCGACCGAAGACAATATATAGTGAGTGAAATTTCTTCTCACCTACGTATACACACAATCTGTTATCTTAACACTTCGTTTCACACCACATGTCTCTTACACACTAATGTAAATACTTACTTTAAACATTGTTAATGTTGATTGGGCCCCCAAATGCCCTGGTATGGCCGAGAGTGGGGTGGGCCCGCCCTCCCTCTCGAAATGCTCTCACACGGCCACGCGTATACAGCCTCTTCCAGGGAAGTCCTACTCACTGCCTTCTCGTGGCGGGGGTGTTGTTTACGAAAATGAGAGGACGAAAAGCGAATGTCCGGCGCTTCAACCGGATTCCAAACCAATGGTGCACATGGGCTCCAGTATCCTGCAGGAACAAATGGCATATGAACCAATCGTTGGTCACCGGCTACCATGGGACTGCATCTCCTCACGATGCTCCACTGCCTTGTGGATCAGACCTTTAGGTCGAAGGCTCGGGGTGTGGCCCCCTAAGAAAACCACCTGCTTCGGTCTGGGCACCCGGACAGTATCACAGCCCCCACACACAAATATGGTGTGACGCATGCATATTTGGTGCCTTCTTGTACCAATATTTATATGTTGAAATAAATGAATAAAAATAAATGTTGATTGGACGACTTATTCGGTATACAGTAAACCGGAGAACCATGTACCTATTTATATTCGGTAATTTTGATGTTTGATTATATTTTTCTTGAAAAAGCTTAGACCAGATTGCCAGGCGAAACGTTGGATTTACTTGGAATTCTTCCGCTGAGATTTCACAAATGCATTCTTCCTCTTTAATGTCTCACATTAACTAAATACTGTGAAGCTATTCCATCAAATTTAGACGAAAGTTCTTATTTGGTTTGTATTTGTTATAATAGTTAGGTTGGTGCCTAGGAAATGTTCCGACCGTGGCTGCTACCTAGACGCGGTGGTCGGGCGTCCTATCGTGATGACCCAACCGAGCTACATTGGCTGGAACGTATGTTCCTGTAGGTTCTACCATGCCAGGCAGGTCGATTGGCGAACGGTAAGACTAAAAGCAGCAACTCAAGGTTTGAGGGCGAAGTCGTGCTGCTGACTGTAGAGGGGTGTGACAGTAGTAAGGTGTTTCCCTCAGACAACCAGCAACTACAGCGATGCTGCCTTCCCACAAGGAGGGGTGGGGTTAGAAAAGGTCGACCCTAAAAATGCACACCTCACCTTACCTCACGGATTTCCGTCTCCGGCGGTAAGGCCCTTTGAAGAACAGAGCTAACACATTAAAAACCTTCCACGAAAAGGCCGTGCGCGACCGGCCTCAAGCAGTTGTCCTTTGGGCTATGCGATCACGCTCCCAGGTCGTTAAGACCAACACTTATCCAATTTCCTTTTCAGGTTCCTCAAGAAATACCCTTCCACGGTGTGGTCAGCCGGGAAGTGATATCAGCCCTCATACCCGTAACAGCACACGAGACCAAGGTGGTCACATTCAAATCCCTCTTACACCTCCTAATACCTCTCTTATCTCCGTGACTAACCCTCCTCACCACTAAACGGAACAGTAAAGACTCGGAAAGATAGGGACACTCGTCGTTGCCTCTTCGTCGTCTCTGCCTATTCTCCCACTGACTGCAGCGCAGATGATGTAAAAGATGAGTTTTACAGAAAGCTCTCCAACCTTCTCCGAAAAACTGGGCGCTCTGATGTAGTAATAGTGGCTGGTGACTTTAATGCTCAAGTAGGTAAACTAAGCGATAAGGAAAGACACCTAGGTGAATCCTATGGTGTCGTGGCTCAAAGAACAGATAATGGCGACCGTCTGTTGCAGCTATGCTCAGATAACCGCCTGTTCCTTGCAAATACTAACTTTAAGCATAAGGAAAAACATCTTTGATCATGGCGACCCCCTAATTCGTCCCAACGTTGGACCCAAATAGATCACATGGCTATCAGCCACCGATGGAGGGGCTCGATGGAAGACTGTCGCTCATTCTGAAGCACATGCTTAGATTCAGATCATGCTCCAGTGCGAGCGCGTCTTTGTCTGCGTCTTACTGGATGTAGGAAAGACGGTACAAGGAAACCTCTTAGGGTCCTACTTAATGATAGTCAAGCTAAGAGTATATTTCAGGAACAACTAGGAAAACAGTTAGGCAGCCATGTGTGATGCCCACCCCGAGGCAGCATGGAATGATATCCGAAAAGCTGTGGAAACAGCAGTGATATCTGCTAGTACGGTAACATGTAAGGTTAGGGAGAAACACTGGATCTCAGCAGCATCTATCGCACTGATAGATGCTCGGAAACTCATTCCACCTGGCTCTGAGCATAATGAAAAGCGGAGTCGACTTAAGCGCAAGCTGACAAGAAGTCTACGCAATGATCGTGAACAGTGGTGGGTAGCGAAAGCAAGAGAGATGGAAAAGGCAGCGGCAATAGGTAATAGCGGACAATTGTTCAGACTCGTTAAGGAAACTGGTATTAGGAAACCGACCGTTAGCGAAACACTCAGAGAAAGATGGACATACAAGTTCTCAATCCAGGAGATTGGGTCGATGGCCCTTCAGCCACACTTCGGTTTCCCACGATCTCCAGTCAACCTGAATGGCAAGTTAATGTAGGTCGTCCAACTGTTTACGAAGTTGGAAAAGCCACAGGAAATCTGAAGCGAGGGAGAGCAGCAGGACCTGACAGGTTTACTCCTGAGATTTTTAAGGATGGTGGTTCAGTATTAGCAGTGAGATTAACTGAGGTCTTAGGTAGAATTTGGGAACTGGACGTAATCCCATCTGACTGGTCTCAATCACTGATTGTGCCAGTCTATAAGAAAGGACAAAAGTCCTCTTGTGACAATCACAGAGGAATCAGTTTGACAAATATAGTGTCTAAAATATTAGCTTCAATAATACTTCGACGCTTAACTAAAGCTCGTGAAGAACAGACTGGAGAAAATCAGGCTGGTTTTCGACCTGGACGTGGTTGTATAGATCAGATATTCACAATACGTCAGGTTCTATAACACACATTCAGATGCCCCACAATGGTAGTATTTCTCGACCTTAAGGCGGCATTCGACTCTATTGATCGTGAGGTTCTATGGCAGTGTTTGTCACTGAAAGGAGTATCAAAGAAGTACATTAACCTTGTAAAGGCTCTCTACTCGAGCACAACTGGTCGAGTGAGAGCTTATGGCGAACTGTCATCAGAATTGATTACCTCAAGTGGTGTTCGTCAGGGCTGCCGTAGTGAAACTTCATCAGTTGAGATGGCTGGGACACGTGTTACGTATGCCCAACGACCGATTGCCTCGACGTGCTATGTTCAGTGGTATAGGAGTAGGTTGGAAGAAAGCTAGGGGCGGCCAAACCAAAACATGGCACAAGTCCATGAAGTCACTGACAAGTAGACTGAGTCATATATCGGTAGGTGTAGACTACTTGGTTGGGGACCGCGAGATGATAGCAACCGATGGTTAGAGACCCTGAATGACATGGCTCAAAGTCGTTTGCAATGGCGCAGGTGCATACACTCTTTGTGTTCTTCCAAATTCTAATCTCCTGATTCCTCCTTGTCTCTTTTTTTCTCTTTCCAACTTTACTTCACTGGATTGTACTCTTTAAATAACATCTCCAAACCCTAATCTTTCCGATTACTGCTTATACTCTTACTACCTCTACCACTACGGGATTTGAATCGACAAGTGCATCTCTGTGCTAATGTGGTGTGGCAACTCGAACTGATGTACGTACGTACGAAGTTCTACGTTGTCACTGAGCGACTGCCTAGGAAGTGTAATTGTCTCGTTTGTCGAAGGCTAAGAGTAATTAATTTCGTAAGTGGTATTGTTAAAGTGATGATTTGAGAGTTTATGATTGCTTGGAAGTGAATGGTTTTAATTTTAACATAACATTTGATAGTTTTGTTCAGTTAGATTCTTATACTTTATCTTCGCGTTTTCATCATTTCGACAGTGTTGTCCTGGTTTTGTTGACACTGATATGACTGACCATAAAGGTGTGAAGACAACGGATGAAGGTGAGTCTATATCCTTGTATATATATATATATATATATATATATATATATATATATATATAGCCTGTTGTTGTTTTGGTAAGCAGAAGACAAGGCAGGATTTATCGCAATGCTGCGGATTAAATCTGTTTTACTCCTTTAGGTGCTGACACACCGTTCTATTTGGCCACACTACCTTTAGGATCAAACAAACCTATCAATCAGTTCGTATATGAAAGAAGAGTGGTTAAATGGTCCAAATGATCTCCACATAAATTTTATTCTGCACAGGTGTATTAGCAGAATGTTATTGCTGAACTTTCTTATCAACGTACGTTATGTTACCCACTTTTTTTATTAGATTTCAGATGTGAATCATTCTGTTTCTTAGTCTAATCTGTTTACGAATAGAAGCGATGTCTACCTTAGTATTATTATCATTATTATTATTAATATTGTTGTCGTTGTTGCTATTCTGTGATGTTTGGCTGTACCATGTGTTGTTATTCAGGACATAGCTTCTTCGGTTTCATTTAATTTACTGGAATGTTTGTTTTGTGCATGTATTTTATTTTGGTCTGTTCATATGATTCTAACGTGTTTTCAAGTAATGAATGTTGAAAATGTTTACTGTGTGCAAACTGTTTAGTGAGATAACTGGTGTTTTACTTTGAGTTGAAGCTGAGAGTGGGTGGTTTATGTTTGAGTCCGCCTCCAATGAAATATATGACGATGGCGAATTGTTATGAACAGGTGACTTGTAATAGTTTATTCTGAATTGAAATAGATTTCTGCACAAGTTTTATTTTATTTGATGAAATGTTCACTCACCGTTCTTCATTATATTATGTCACTAGGTGATTTCGAGCAGCATTTATCAAACGAACTTTCGTTATTCTACAATGGAGAGTAGTATGAATGTTTCAGTTTTTCTAGAAGATTGATTTTAAGAATATTTGTTGGACGGGATGAGATTAGTGGGGTTCCTCCATAGTTCGTTGCCTTGGTTTTACTTTCAAGTTTGATTTGGTTATGCAGTAACTTATGTATCATATATACATGAATGTACATTGTCTGTTACTCATGCTCAGTAGTATACTTAGTTATTACGGCTCACAACATCCAAGTAAAATTGAAAACTGATCTACAGTTGCTTTGTGATATTGTTGTTTGTAACCATATTGATGTTTGGATTTGTAGTATAAATCGAGTTTCTTAATTGATCGTGTCTGTAAAACATTATCTGAGTACCTATGAATTTACCAAGTATCCCAAGTTTTCCAACATATTCCAATGAACCCTCATCCGAGTGATTTAGAGTTTTTAGTTGTCAGGCGCTAGGTCAGTTATCGAGTTTCCGCCCTTGTTAATGTCTTATGAAGTGTCTCATATGATATCCGATCGAAGCTGCTACCTTGACGCGGTGGTCGGGCTTGCCTATCGTGATGACCCAACCGAGCTATATTGGCTGGAACATATGTTCCTGTAGGTTCTACCATGCCAGGCAGGTCGATTGGAGAACGGTAAGACTAAAAGCAGCAACTCAAGGTTTGAGGGCGAAGTCGTGCTGCTGACTGTAGAGGGGTGTGACAGTAGTAAGGTGTTTCCCTCAGACAACCAGCAACTACAGCGATGCTGCCTTCCCACAAGGAGGGGTGGGGTTAGAAAAGGTCGACCCTAAAAATGCACACCTCACCTTACCTCACGGATTTCCGTCTCCGGCGGTAAGGCCCTTTGAAGAACAGAGCTAACACATTAAAAACCTTCCACGAAAAGGCCGTGCGCGACCGGCCTCAAGCAGTTGTCCTTTGGGCTCTGCGGTCACGCTCCCAGGTCGTTAAGACCAACACTTATCCAATTTCCTTTTCAGGTTCCTCAAGAAATACCCTTCCACGGTGTGGTCAGCCGGGAAGTGATATCAGCCCTCATACCCGTAACAGCACACGAGACCAAGGTGGTCACATTCAAATCCCTCCTACACCTCCAAATACCTCTCTTATCCTCCCGACTAACCCTCCTCACGTCTCTTTATCACCTCGCACCGTTAGGGCAAACGATCCGAGTACGTGGAACGCCATTCCTGGTCTCCTGAAACCACGCTCTAAACTACACGTAGGAGCTTTTAACGTACGAACACTTTGCCAAATAGGACAACAGGCTTCCTTAGCTAGGACTTTAGAATCTCGCGCCATCGATGTGTGCTGCGTCTCCGAAACGCGCATACAGGATCCGAGTAGCGTCATTCATTTGACCTCACCATGCCAAAATAAAGAACCGACTCGATTTACGCTTCGTGTATCTGGAAGCCCTGATTCTGCTTCCCGTGGCCTCGTCGGCGTAGGTATAGCATTGAGTCCTAGGGCAGAACTAGCTCTCTTAGACTGGATCCCAGTAGACAGTCGTTTGTGCGCTGTCCGACTGAACGGAACAGTAAGAATCCGGAAAGATAGGGACACTCGTCGTTGCCTCTTCGTCGTCTCTGCCTATTCTCCCACTGACTGCAGCGCAGATGATGTAAAAGATGAGTTTTACAGAAAGCTCTCCGACCTTCTCCGAAAAACTGGGCGCTCTGATGTAGTAATAGTGGCTGGTGACTTTAATGCTCAAGTAGGTAAACTAAGCGATAAGGAAAGACACCTAGGTGAATCCTATGGTGTCGTGGCTCAAAGAACAGATAATGGCGACCGTCTGTTGCAGCTATGCTCAGATAACCGCCTGTTCCTTGCAAATACTAACTTTAAGCATAAGGAAAAACATCTTTGATCATGGCGACCCCCTAATTCGTCCCAACGCTAGACCCAAATAGATCACATGGCTATCAGCCACTGATGGAGGGGCTCGATGGAAGACTGTCGCTCATTCTGAAGCACATGCTTAGATTCAGATCATGCTCCAGTGCGAGCGCGTCTTTGTCTGCGTCTTACTGGATGTAGGAAAGACGGTACAAGGAAACCTCTTAGGGTCCTACTTAATGATAGTCAAGCTAAGAGTATATTTCAGGAACAACTAGGAAAACAGTTAGGCAGCCATGTGTGATGCCCACCCCGAGGCAGCATGGAATGATATCCGAAAAGCTGTGGAAACAGCAGTGATATCTGCTAGTACGGTAACATGTAAGGTTAGGGAGAAACACTGGATCTCAGCAGCATCTATCGCACTGATAGATGCTCGGAAACTCATTCCACCTGGCTCTGAGCATAATGAAAAGCGGAGTCGACTTAAGCGCAAGCTGACAAGAAGTCTACGCAATGATCGCGAACAGTGGTGGGTAGCGAAAGCAAGAGAGATGGAAAAGGCAGCGGCAATAGGTAATAGCGGACAATTGTTCAGACTCGTTAAGGAAACTGGTATTAGGAAACCGACCGTTAGCGAAACACTCAGAGAAAGATGGACATACAAGTTCTCAATCCAGGAGATTGGGTCGATGGCCCTTCAGCCACACTTCGGTTTCCCACGATCTCCAGTCAACCTGAATGGCAAGTTAATGTAGGTCGTCCAACTGTTTACGAAGTTGGAAAAGCCACAGGAAATCTGAAGCGAGGGAGAGCAGCAGGACCTGACAGGTTTACTCCTGAGATTCTTAAGGATGGTGGTTCAGTATTAGCAGTGAGATTAACTGAGGTCTTAGGTAGAATTTGGGAACTGGACGTAATCCCATCTGACTGGTCTCAATCACTGATTGTGCCAGTCTATAAGAAAGGACAAAAGTCCTCTTGTGACAATCACAGAGGAATCAGTTTGACAAATATAGTGTCTAAAATATTAGCTTCAATAATACTTCGACGCTTAACTAAAGCTCGTGAAGAACAGACTGGAGAAAATCAGGCTGGTTTTCGACCTGGACGTGGTTGTATAGATCAGATATTCACAATACGTCAGGTTCTATAACACACATTCAGATGCCCCACAATGGTAGTATTTCTCGACCTTAAGGCGGCATTCGACTCTATTGATCGTGAGGTTCTATGGCAGTGTTTGTCACTGAAAGGAGTATCAAAGAAGTACATTAACCTTGTAAAGGCTCTCTACTCGAGCACAACTGGTCGAGTGAGAGCTTATGGCGAACTGTCATCAGAATTGATTACCTCAAGTGGTGTTCGTCAGGGCTGTCCACTCTCCCCATTCTTGTTCAACTTTGTGGTCGACGTACTTTTAGAGATAACACTCTCGTCATCTAAATTTCCAGGGGTTGAAATTCTACCAGGAGGTTCACTTGTTGACTTAGAATATGCTGATGACATAGTTTTATTTGGTGAAGACGCTGACAAAATGCAGAGTCTTCTGACCACTCTAAGCAACAATGCAAGCATGTTCGGGATGCGATTCTCTCCCTCGAAACGCAAAATGTTGCTTCAGGATTGGGTTACATCGACACCCGAACTAGTGATAGGGAGTGAAGTAGTTGAGTGTGTCGACCGCCTCATCTTGGAAGTCTCATCAGCCCTTGTGGTTTAGTGTGTGACGAAATCTCAGCACGGATACAGAAGGCTCGACTAGCTTTTGCCAACTTGCGTCATTTATGGCGTAGGCGAGATATCCGTCTATCAACCAAAGGACGTGTTTACTGCGCAGCAGTTCGTTCCGTCCTACTTTATGGCAGTGAAACATGGCCGGTAAGAGTGGAGGATATCCGTAGGTTACTAGTATTTGATCATAGGTGTCTTCGAAACATTGCTCGTATATCATGGGACCATCGAGTAAGTAACACAGTTGTTAGGAAACGGGTACTAGGTAAGGATGGCAAACCAATTGATGACGTAGTGAAACTTCATCAGTTGAGATGGCTGGGACACGTGTTACGTATGCCCAACGACCGATTGCCTCGACGTGCTATGTTCAGTGGTATAGGAGTAGGTTGGAAGAAAGCTAGGGGCGGCCAAACCAAAACATGGTACAAGTCCATGAAGTCACTGACAAGTAGACTGAGTCATATATCGGTAGGTGTAGACTACTTGGTTGGGGACCGCGAGATGATAGCAACCGATGGTTAGAGACCCTGAATGACATGGCTCAAAGTCGTTTGCAATGGCGCAGGTGCATACACTCTTTGTGTTCTTCCACATTCTAATCTCCTGATTCCTCCTTGTCTCTTTTTTTCTCTTTCCAACTTTACTTCACTGGATTATACTCTTTAAATAACATCTCCAAACCCTAATCTTTCCGATTACTGCTTATACTCTTACTACCTCTACCACTACGGGATTTGAATCGACAAGTGCATCTCTGTGCTAATATAGTGTGGCAACTCGAACTGATGTACGTACGTACGAAGTTCTACGTTGTTACTGACTGACTGAATCCCTCGCCAATCAAAAGTTTTTAACATAACTCGGAAAGATTTGAAGGTTGATATCTGTTGTATTTAATCTTCAACAATGTTAAGATTTTTATATCAACCTAAAGAAAAGTATGATGTTCATTGTAAGCATGGTTCACAAAATAATCTCTACTCACTGTTTATGTGTTTGTGATGATACGCTGTTGTTATTACCTATATATGAGTATGGCTATGCATAACTACCCATTATTTGTTTACAGTTCGACTAGATGCTAACTGGGAAAATGATTGTCGTGTTATCCACTTGTAGAAGGTAGTGTTCCTCTCCATATAAGCAATAACTTCAGATAAAACAGTTTCAAAAGTTTAACTTTGCTTGACATTCGCTCCGTTGTGAAAATTGTTTATCCAAGAACGATCACACAAAAATCAAACTACTTTATCCAGAGAAAGTTTGATGCTTATATGAGTATGTAATGGATTATCTTAGAGATAACTCCTAAGGCTTCGTGTATCAAAAGTCCTGATTTTCATTATTAAATAAATCCCGACGGTGTATCAATTTTGGATGACAATGCGAGGTGTCGACTACAGTTTGTTACTGAACAGCGCAGATCACTGAGCCACAAGCTCACAGCGAATCCTAGCAGAAATACTAATGTGAGAGAGAAAATACAGAGGCGAATTAGGAGTTGAATAAATTGGTGAGATGCAAGTAAATATACATAG